TCTCCAACTTATGCTTACGAGCAAAGGGATCCCAGGAAGGGCTAACTCCAGGGGAGATGATGGGGGAAAGGATTCCAAGGTGTTATCAGGGCACAGAAACAACAGGACAAGTTATTGAGCAGAAAAATAATAAAAGAGAAACCTACACAAAAAGGATGACAAACTCCATGCCTCTGAGTTCTACCAGAAGAATGAGGTGTTTTGCTGTTTGAGTTGTACTTTTCCCCTTATCAGCATGACCACCAACCCTCTGGAATAGCATCAGCCACCTCCGTTCAGTTTTTAAATAAGATACATGAGCCCAGCAGGAGACAGAATCTGGCTCTAGAAGCAAGTGGTATAGTTAACTCTGAAGAAGGAGGATGTCATACCCTGACAGTGCTAATTAGTGGATGTGCTGCCTTCTTGGAACATATGCTCCAGAGGACATGAAAAATTGGCCAGGACCAATCAAACAAGTGACCGCAACCCACTTGTAATGACTCACTTAGGAACAAATTGATATAATGAGAATGCCCTTTTAAAAAATTATATATATATATATATATATATATATATATATATATATATATGGATATACACATAATTAGTCATAAAAAAGATTGGGTTAAACAACTAAAGAATTTAAGAGGCTTTGGAATACTTTCATGTCTTCTTCCATAATAAAAAGGAAGCTATGAGAAGGGAACAGGTGGGCTTGTAGATACATTCAACAGGATGAAAGAGGGCGTGTAGTTAGAACCCCATGATAAATGCCTTCTGGTAAGGGGCAGAATCTTACCTTACCTTGCCACCATTTTCTTTTCTTTAATTTTCAAAATTATAGCTACATATTGCCAATTATTCTTTTTTTGGTACTGAGTATTGAGCCCAGACAGTGCTTTACCATTGAGACACATCCCTAAGTCCCCCGACCCTCATTTTTTTTTGAAGCTGAGAAATAAAGCAACTTTTATTTTTACTTTGAGATAAGGTCTCACCAAATTGTATAGAACTTCACTAAATTGCTGAGGCTGGTCTTGAACTTGTGGTCCTCCTTCCTCCTGCCTCAGCCTCCCATGTCACTGGGATTATCTGCGTGCACCACCACACCCAGCCCAATAAAACAATTCTTAAAGTGTGATCTGAGAAGATCTTACTTTTGTAATGGTCCAAAAGCAAGAAAGCACAACATAAACACATTCACACTTTAAATAGTTTTGTGTGGTCTGCCACCATTTCCCTCAGTCAACCTGGACACAAACTCACAGCTCTGTTGCTTCTAAGAATTAAATTCATTTCACAGGAAAGAACTGGTCAGGGAAAAGGAAGAAGTAAAAGAATTCAACCAAGATGATCATGTCCTGTTAAATTTCCTACAATACAAAAGAGATCTAAACAGCCAAAGATTGTAAAAAGTGACTGGGGGGGGGGGGGGGGGGGGGGGGGGAGAGCCAAAAGACAGAGAACCATCATCACCCACTGTTGTGAGTGGTTCTCAAGAGAGTTATGGCAGGTAGCTTGGACTGATCTCCATGTGGACACAAAGAATAGGATAAATAGTCTAGCAAGAGATATAGCTTAGATGTAGAACTGTCCGAATTGGAAAGTGGATTTGATGTGTGAAATACAGGAAAGGAAGAAATTGAGATGACCTACATTTCTAGTTTGATAATTAGATCAAATGGTGGTCACGTTTACTGAAATCACAAAGTTTGGTTACAGGAGGGTAAAGACAGAAATCAAGAGTTCCATTTCGTACATGCTTAGATTAAGACATATCTACTCAAGCAGAGATGTCAGGAAGACATTGGATATACTAGCTGGAAGATCTGTTAAGAAGCACTGGCTAGAACAGAAATGTAGAAAATATAAGCATGATCAGGGAATAGTCGAGACTACCTAAAGAGACACAACAGAAAGATAAAGAAAGATACCCAGAACTAAGCAAAACAATCAATTAACTGTTACTAGGAGAGATCTATATGTTAAGTGAGACTGGGCAAAATCCAGGATCATTCTTTGGCCTGATGTTTTTCACGTTTTTTTTTTCCCCCCTAGTTATTTAAATATAGACATAAGGTTGGCTCCTTGGATTGGGAGTGATATTCATTCCATCATTTATATGTAGAGAGAGACAAAACAAAAATCTCTCCTTTAAAAAACACTGGTGGTTAGTGGAAGGAGACTTACCAACACAGGTAATGGTAGTAAGGTACTCAAAAAGAACATGTTCAAGACATGAAGACATGAAGGATAGGAAAGGAGAGGAAATGCAAATGAATGTGACAAAAGTATGCTCTGTGTATCTATAAATATACCACAGTAAATTCCATGTACACCTACAAAACACTGATTTTTAGATAGATAGATAGATAGATAGATAGATAGATAGATAGAAGATAGACCAGTAGAGCCGAGGAAGATGAATAGGGGAAGGAGGAGAGAATAGAAAGAGGGGGCATCAGGGACTGAAATTAAATAAGTTAAATTCCATGCATGGATGATTAGGTCAAAATGAACCCAACTATTATGTATAACTATAATGCACTAATAAAAGTATTAAAAAAAAGAAAAAAATGAAGTGGATAAGAGCAGGGACTCTAGAACCATACTGCCACCACTCAAACCCCATCCCAGCCACTTACTATATAAGTTTAGGCAAATTTCTTAACCTTTCCAAGTCTTAATTTTCTCATCATAAAATGGGGATGACAAAATACTAACCTCCTACATGTAATAGGCTAAAAAAGCACAATGCCCAGCACAGGGAAAGTGCTTGAGGCAGGACAGCTACTCTTATGATTAGTAGATGACAGTGGTCCTAAGGGAGGGGCAGAATCACATTTTGTCAGTTTCTCAAGAGATTCTAACAATAGACCAAAATTAATAAAAATAAGCATGAGATTCTACATGTAGGTTTAAAATAATTTTGTCAGTCCATATTAACTTGAGAAGATTTGACCTAAAAGATATTACATGCAAAAACCCTACAACCTCTTGCCTGATGAAAATACAAGCCTACACATGTGTTATATCAATGGAAGCCCGGGGTCCACAGAATGACAGATGACAGTGCCACCACAACTGAGAATAATCCTAAACTTTTGTTTACTTCCTAGTATGCCACTTGAAACAGCACACTGACAGATTTAGATGTTTCCAGAACAAAATGGCCATGACAATGAGGGATTTGAGAATAAGATCCAATTCTCCTTTAACATTAGCTCTCATAAGCACACTGCACTTTTCTTTCACTACCTTTATAATCTGAATGCAATTTGTACATGTACGTGCATACATACATATGTGTATGTACAGTACAGAGCTCTTGTTTCTCTCCACTACTAGACTGCAAACTTGGTAAGGGCCAGGAAGGTGTCTGCTCGACAATGTATCACTAGTACTTAGCAGAGCACCTTTCAACAACTAGGTAATCAGTAATTATTTTTTCCTGATGAATAATAAATGAATGTATATCACATGAGAAATTTTTGAAGAAAAATAACTTTTAGCCCAAGGAAAATACGATGGTTGACTTAAAATAATTGAGTGAGTGTCTAAAGAAGAAAAATCAGAAAAACTTGGGAAGGTTCCAAAAGGCCGAGTTAAGACCCCTGGATAGAGGCAGAATTCAATTCAACTCTGAGAGAGGAAGAACTTTTAGATGAACCCGTCTGACAGATTCAATGAGCCATCTTACAAAGTGGTAAGCCCTCCATTGCTACAAAAGGAAGAGTCTGGCTGTCCCATGTGGAAGGTCTTATGTGAGACCCGTTCCAATTGCAAGATGCCATGCTTTCTATTACTAAGAATTTTACATGCCAGTCCCTTTCCCTCCATTCTGTCCATCCAAAGCCTAGAATGTGCACAACCCTGCTAAGAAACAGGGCACCATGTCTCCAAGCTCTCAAGAAAGAGAACTGGACACCTGCCTAACCACTCTTCTTTAGGTACACAGTGGGCAGGAAGGGGGTACTCCTAGAGGAAGTGGAGGAAGGAGTCCATGTAGTAGAAGGAAAAGCCATGTCAAAACAGAAGGTGGGGCTTTCAAGTCACAAATCTAAGAGCTTTTGAATGGATTTAGTCAGGTGACTGCCCAGCTAGGGCAGGTTTTCTTCTCTTGATCAATGGGCATTCCAAATATTTAAATCTGATAACTAAACAAACATGCAAAGCACAAACACTTAAAATACCAACATTTACATACTAAAAGAAATGACCAATTAGGAGATTCTTATTTATACAATAAAAAACATTTTTCAGATAAACATATGAAAATACTTGCACCCTCAGCCTCCTCCTCCACTACCTCACCAGTTCCATCAACAGCAATTTTAACATTTCCAAGTTCAGAGTCAGAGAGGACAGCCCTTTTGAATCTTTCCAGGTAGCTGAAGATCCTACGGAAAATCAATCTTCACACTCAAAGCCACAAATCAGATGAAAGCACAAGACAAGAAACACAACCCCCTCCTTTGGGGGCTTGTTTTATGAAGAGGTTGCCAGATAGCTAAATATAAATTGTGTGTGTGTGTGTGTGTGTGTGTGTGTTCTCCAGGGCTCAACAGGAGACTTGAGTGAAATTATGCATTTTCCTGATGCTTTCCCTCACTTATTAACAAAAATAAGGTGTGATGTGGCCTTTCCAAACCAGAATAATTTGTTATTCCTTGGGGAAGTATATCAACTCTGTAAGATCACACAGGCTGTGGAGTCTTGGAGAAAAGGTGAGGCTTTAACATACCCAGAGACCGTGTTAGCAAGGATCAGAATCCAGCAACAGATCCCCACAGTGTTTGGAATCCCAACTGTTACCTGGCTTCTTCAGGTGACAGATGCAGTGAAGTCTTCTCCTGAAACCCAGCCTACTCTCACCAGCAGCCTCTTGCAAAAGCAAGGCTCCTGGGGCTAGGAAGGTCTTGCTGAGGAGGCCCTACATGCCCTCTCCACTGTAGTCATTGAGCACAGTGTTGACCTTCCACTGAGGAGAAGGTCAGGTTGTTAGGTGGTGGCCTCACCTGTTTTTCCTGCTCCACTTTCCCCTGTAATGAGAATACATTGATCTTTATCTTGATCTCGGAGGGATCTGTATGCTTCATCTGACAGAGCGAAGCTGCAGGGAAAATGGAAAAAAGTCCTTAGAATTCAGCTCATTAGAACGCTTTATCAGATGTAACTCTGGATTCTTTAAAGGGCCACTCCAACATGCTTCAGAGAGTGAGCCAAGACATCACATTTTATTTCCTCCAAATTCTTGAAACAAGTCAAGAAATGCATTCTTTGTGGCCCATGTTACCCTTTCCCATGCATTCTCTGTTAAACCAAAATGGCACTGATTTATTGGACCCTATTGATAGGTTTTATTTACCCTCCATGCTATACTGATGACTCTTTTTATTAAAATCTAGGTAATTCAGAGAACCAAGGAGAAAACATTATGCCCCATGTCTACACTGAATAATGTTGAGAACTTCCCAGGCAACACACTAGAGTTTCAATATAGTGAGGAAACGACCAATATATGGGAGTTGAAAGATAATGGGAGGAGGGGGTGGAGTTGAAAGATAATGGGAGGAGGGGGCAAAAGGACAGTCAGGGTAGGTAATGAATGATGGGGTCAGGAAGATGGGTTAGGCTGATTCAAAAGGAAATAAAATGCTAATACCTCCAGAGCACTTCCCCCTCCTCCAACCTGTTGCCAAGGTTACCCACCTCCAGAGAACTGTTCCTCCCTAGAAGGAGTCCTTAATGAGTAGCCCCTGGGTGGCTCCCTTCCTGCCTATACCCCTGAGCAGTTTCATTCCCACCCTTGGATCACTCCATCTTTTGGTCATGCAGGAAGAATGGGAAGAGGGGGCATGAGAACAAAGGAAATCTAAAACCTATAAAAGGGGCAAGACTCCTCCACTCCCTCAGGCACCAACTTTGGACCCCCTCCTCTGAGGAGGAGTCTCTGTCTTTCCCTCTCTGTTCCATCCTTTAAATAAAACTTTTTGATCTTGCCCTTTGTGTTTCTCAGGTGTTCAATCTTCAACACGGGGGAGACAGGACTTGGAACATGGTATCATCTCTGTGGCATTTCCGTCATGAAGCTACTACATTTACAATAAATGCAATCTCTTGAGACCCATCAGGCACTATAGGATTTGTTGTGGTTCTTGTCCAGTCCTAGGCTCCTCAGTTCCTCACTCTGATTATCAATGACAAAGGGCACCTCATCAAGGAAGAAGGCCAGTCCTCTTGCTGACCTCTCCTTCCTCGAAATGTACTAATAAGTTTTGATCCCCCTAGCTATTTGAAAAATACTTCTAACAATATGGATAATGTGTTTACAATAGATCTTCCTTTAATTCATTTGTTCACAAGTACTTACTGAGAGTCTACTATGCATCAAGAACAAGCCGGAAATGTGGTGATTAATCAACATTCAGCCTCTTTTATGAGTTCTCAGTCAAAAGCACAGGAGTAATTAATAGGAAATATCTAGCCAAGACTCTGAGCCCAATAAAGACAAGCAAAGCAGTGTAAAACGAGGCAAGGACCTCAGGGGGTAGAACCTGGAGGAAAAAGAACCTTCAAGAGTTAGAAAAAGGTGGTCCTACAGAATTAATCAGCAATGCCTGGCATGGTGGTGCACTGCTATAATATCAGCAACTTGGAAGCTAAGGCAGGAGGATCACAAGCTTAAGTTCAGCCCCAGCAATTTAGCAAGACCCTCAAAAACTTATCAAGACCCTGTCTCAAAAAATAAAAAAGGACTGAGGATGTAGCTCATTGGAAAAGCTCCCCTGGATTCAATTCCCAGTAGCAAAAGAAAAGAATTAGCTGGGCACAAACAAAGGTCTAAAATATGATGATAAGATGGAGACAGGTCAGGGAGAGCATTTATGAGCAGTTCTATTGTGCTGGAAGGCAGAACATAAGGTAGAGGGATGAGAGATGAGCTGTCGAGATAGACAGGCAGATTCCAAATTAAGAACAATAGAGTCACATGGAGCCACACTGCAGGACTGTAAACAGGAGAGTAGCTAGGTTAGAAAGTCATTAGAACTAAAAACAGCAACATTTACCATGTATTAGAATTGTCCCCAAGCCCTTTATGCTTAAACGCTTTAAATCTCACAAAACTAGCACAAAGCAAGAACATAATTTGCCAGGGTCACACTGGCAGTATGACACAGTGGAGCCAGAACTGATCCCGGCTCTTGATCACTGGCATTCGGCACCTCTGCATTTGGGCTAAATCACAGGGAGACAGGGGAGCATGAGAGGGAGGGAGACTGGTGAAGAACCAGGATGCAGGGAGAGGTCATATTTGGCCATCTAGACCACACAGGGCTTTCCCCACCACTTTTCTTCTGAAGGTGCATTATATCTAGTAAGTACCTCCAATGTGCCAGAAGCTGAGGGAGAGGGAGATATCCTTATATTCATAATGGAATTTAGTATTCAACAAAGCTCTTCAAAGTAAATGTCAGGCATCTTAAGGAAAAATCATCCTGACACGTAACAGGAGAAGCCCATGATCCCTTTCTCAGAAGGGTACTTGCTAACTTGAACCCAGAAATACTAGGAACTACATTCTTCCCCATCGCACATGTTCTCTTACAATGATTTGTTAGCATATCTTATCCTCCAGCTGGATTTCGGTAAAAGCCTAAAAGACAAGTTACCCTGAGCCTTGTTTTGTAACCTTCACATCAATGAGCCTATGTTCCTGCACATGTAATAAGTAGATTCTAAACATATTTTTGAATGAATATATGAATAAGAGGAAAAGGAGAGATAAAGAATATAATAGTGAACAGGGTCTTTTTAAGCAACAGGTTACTCTAGCTTGCTCATTTGAACAGTGTACCCCTGACTCCTTCAGTATCTCAAAGCCCTTCAAACCATTCTCTATAAAACCAAAGCCATGCTTGAGATCCAAGGCAGCTCAGGGTTCTCAGTCTTCTCTAGCATTCTCTGATTCCCAGGGCAGAAGCAAGCACCCACCTTGTGAATCACCACATAAGGAGGATGGTAGGGAAAAGCAGAAGATGGAGGCAGAAAACATCTCAGATGTGACTCTTGGGGCCCAGATCTGTATGGCCACCTATGTGACCTCCAGCAAATCACTCACCCTGGCAGAACTTGTTTCTTATCAGCCACTTTAGCAGAATAAACAGAAGTATATGGAGGTGCTTTAAAAAGTATCAAGCCCAGAATGAATGTCAGAACATCTTTGTGTATCATAATTAGTTACAAAACCATCCTTCTATCCCCTACCAGAAAGAGAAGCTTCTAGTGGATTAGGGGCTTTCTATCAAGGTGCCATTCACAGCACCATAAGCCTAAATCATAATCAATACCAAGAAACAAATGATTGAATGGGTGGACTTTCTCCAAGCAGGGGCAAAGTCAGCACTGGAGTGAGCTCTGTAAAGAACAGTAAACCCTGAAGATTCAGTTCTCCTACGGCCTTTGTGCAGGCAAGGAAAGCTTTGCTTACGTATCTTATTAGCCTTCCTCTCGTCCTACTCCTCCAACTTCTGGACAATAATTCAGAGATGCCACTTCCATTATCATCTTTGGTAAGCCATGCAGGAAAGCACACTTTGGCAAATACAAGTAAAGTTCTCTGATCATACATATTTATGGAACTCATCATGGACTGTTTAATTCAGGCCTTTGAATTAAAGTCCTTCTAGGACTGCAGTTTACCTTTGTACACCATTACTAGATCCACAGTAATGGAAAATGACTTCAAAACTGAATAATCACATAACACACACAAGAGATCACCAAATGACCCTCCATGGATCTACTGAGCTAAAACACCTAAACTGAACTAGCTTATTTTTTTGTTTGTCCAAAAAAGAAGTAGTCACTACTTGGGAATTGGTTCAAGCACCTTCCCCTACCCATCTACTCCACTCCCCCTGGATAACAAATCTGCAAATGATCAAGTCCTTTATATAAAATGGTATAGTATTTGCATATAACCTAAGCTTATCCTACTAAATACTTTAAAGCATCTCTAGATGACTTATAATACCTAACAATGTAAATGCTATGCTAGCGGTTGTGATGCTATATTGCTTTGGGAATAATGGCAGTAAAGTGCATACATGTTCAGTACAGATGCGATTTTCTTCCCTAGTATTTTTGACCCTCAAGATTGGCTGAATCGGGGCTGGGATTGTGGCTCAGCAGTAGAGCACTCGCCTAGCACAGGCAAGACCCAGGTTCGATCCTCAGCACCACATAAAAATAAAGGCATTGTGTTGTGTCCATCTATACCTAAAAAATAAATGTTAAAAAAAAAAGATGCTCACCTTTAAAAAAAAAAAAGATTGGCTGAATCCATGGACCCAGAGGGTGAACTCTATCTATGTATCCCTGTCCATAAAGACAGGGCTGATTCATCTAATGGAGAGTACAATCTTAACATAAGACAAAGGCGAAAAGAGGTACTTATTTGTTCAAGGCTTTCAATAGCCAATGACTTTGAACTCACGTGACACTTTACCAATGAAAATATTTCAGCCTGAAAAAGTTTGTTTGTACTACTGACACACTCATCTCAAGTACAGTATAAATGTCATCACACTTACTGCCTACAAACACAGATTTTTCTTTTACGTTTTCTTTTTTTTAAGACCAGGTAGAGGGCCCTGAAGAGAACACAAGCCCGTTCGTCTTCCTCTCTGGCAACGTTAGCACATACCCATCCCCAAGGCCAACATTTATAACTGTAAACTGAAACCACATGCCAGTCCTCCAAACCTCTCTATAATTAAGGAACCTAAATAAATCTTTAGAGAAGTTTTTAGTTAAAACCAGTTGTGACCCATATGCTTCTCATTATTTTGTGACCATGTCAGCACTGTTATTTACCACACACAGAAATGAATGGTTAGTTATAATACAATGACGATAACGTAAGGGGGGTGAGCATGGTTTTTGACCCACCGCATCAAGAACATGGTTTTACCAGCTTCTTCTGTCCTCTCCTTGAGTTCCAAGAACAATAGGGGCAGCCCAATATTTCCACACAGCTCCCCTTGGCTTCCAGAGCAGCTACCCAGCTGTTCATGGAGAGTCAAGAATCCCAGCACCAAGTATGTTCAC